ATGCAAATATGTAACAATGAGGCGAATGAACCACTGGAACAATTTACTGAGGTATGTGGTAAGTTCTTCTTCGAGTGATTGCTCATGTGCCTTCGAATGAGGTGCGTGCGCGCTGCGTTCACGGTTTCCAGAACATTTTTTTCCCCCAGTGGTACCCGTTGGTGTGGCAGGTCGCCCCCTGGAGTGGCGCAGCTATAGTAGAGCATAAGTACCCCTGCCAGCCCTCCCCCTCCTCAGTTCCTTCTTATCGCCCGTGACAGTTGTTGGAGCTTCTCCGTTCTTGTGATAGAACCCAGCAATCGCTAGTTGTTTTGCCTGCTGGTAGTTTCTTCTTCCAGTTACTAGTTTTCAAATAGTTTCTAGTTCGTTGTTACCGTTCGTTCTCTCTCCCCTCCGGGGGAGGGGGATGCCAGGCTCACATGACTTTAAACCCCATGTGTCCTACGCAAAGCCGATGCCAAAAGGAGACCCCCATGACTCATGCCTAAAGTGTTTGGGAGTCTCATCTCACTGACTCCTGTAAGATCTGCAGGAGTTTTAAGCCTTGTACGAAGCGGGAGAGGGATTCCCGCTTAAAACTGTTACTGATGGAGTTGGCTTTCCAACCGGCGCCATCCTGTGAAGTTGCGGTGCATAGTGCACCAGCGTTGGTATGGGAAACTCAACTGGGGCCTTCCTGTACTGCGGTACCAAAGATCTTGGCACCGAGGCACCGATCCCAGTCTCCAGTGCCGAAGAAGAGAAAGGAGGCAAGGAGCAGATCATCTAGTCACCAGACCCATGGCAGCCAGCACCGCCCTCGGTCTCTGTGCCCAGACTCTCCTAGTCGCGACAACAGTGCAAAGGGGAGAAGAGAGACTATGGGCATGTGGGCAGAGTCCAGGACTGATGCCTGCACCATCCATCCACCCTGGAGACCTTTGAGGCGGCACAGGAGCTCATCGAGCTAACGGCTTCGCCGCCATTGTCTCCACACCCTGGAGAGCTTTCACCTGCAGCACTGGGGCCCAGAGCAGCACCGGTAGCAGCAACTAGATCAGTGGCCTGGTCAGAAACAGCTTCTGCGCTGGCAAGAGCCACAAACCCAACACGTTCAGCGGTGTGCGG